ATTCTAAGATCTCACCACTTTTTGATTTCCCTCCCTACCTTGAACCATCATATATCAATAAGTCAGTAGGAATCAGATAACACTTCCACAAACACACTTTTTCACACGGTTTCACAATTTGACAACTCTGATATTGAAACCCCAGATGAATTTGCAGACTCCGAGCCTAGCGCATCCACTTTTTCCTAGCCCTCTTTTCAACCACTCTATACCCAAATTCCCGACGAACCTTCCTCAGCCCTTTCTTCCTACACTGATGCAACCCCAATTTACTCCCCAATGACTAGCGACCCACCTGACAACTCTAGCCCCTTTGATACGGAACTCGAAAAAAAACTAGATAACTTCATAACCCTCCAACAACAGCTACATCACCCTAACACACTAACCATTCATCACCTCTCACAAACCATGACATCCTCAGAATCCTCCAACCCAACGTCCACTACTGGAAAAACCCGAGCCCACCGAGGTTTTAAACATAAACTCCCCAATACCCCATTCCTTTCTAACCCTCGACCAGCTCAAACATTTTCGAGTCATCCACTTCATACTTACACAAAAAATTTTCTCCAAGTGTGCTTACCATTCTTTCCACAAAAAACTTAATCTCACTCAAATCCTAACGACAATCAACCAAATTACGTTAACGAAAATGCCTTATTTCGCACACTTTCATGGACCTCACATTATCATTTCAGTAATCCATTATCACTTCCACTATATAATAATTCAGACGACAATGATTTATGTCAAACTAGACTATATCAACTAAACACATCACTTCATGAAAAACAGTTCACAACCATCGGATTGAATCAAACACTAAACAGAATCACTACAGAAAAAACTAACCGATTTTCCATTAACCATTTTGATCAGGCCATTGCACGACCCATTGAAAATAACTTTTTACATGACGATACTAACGCTAACCCCCAACTAACTCAAAATTTTTTTTATCAAATCACAATATGTATTGTTTATGAACTGCATTAATAAAAAATATGATCACATTATATCCAGAGAACTTCGCAAGACAAAAACCTACGACTCTTCTTTCAGTAAATTAACCATTTTTCACTAACTTTCAATTTCCTAACACCAAAAAAACGTGACTTACACTGCTCACGTCAAATTATGTTACGCACAGAACAAACTCTCACATACACTAATTATAAATTCATACAACACCATTCCACAACTAATACACCATCGCAAAAACCCACAACATCGACTTCAAATTATTAGCTCCAAATACACTTCACCATTCTTCTTAAACTCCACATACTGTATAAAAGACATTAACATGCAAGGAATCATCAGAAATTACGACCCTATCCGAGAAATGTATATATTTTGCCCACTAACCAGAACTTTGTCCCTCAAGAATATATACAGCCCGTTGAAATCCCACTCCTAGAAAACATTCACAGCACTAAATTTAATCATAAGCTTTATAATCTAATGAAAAACACACCACATGACTTCTCACCAAGTATTGAAGACAACAAGATTATCAAAACACTCGAACTGCTTCGGCCTCTGCTTTAAACTAAATACATCACCCGCTTGCTAGATAAACTTCTAACAACATCGAACGTCAATCACGATTTTTTCGCAAATGGACTTTTTGCTGACGATTAAGTAAGTATAATTATGTATCTTTTCACGAAGCACTAAATTCATAAATTAAATCCCCAAAAGCAATAAAATTAATATTTTAATGTAGTAAGTTCATAGAAAAAGTACAAGAGATTTTTTTTATAAGGTTTGAATCATTCACTCGCCCATAAAACTCTTACCACAATCGCTCATCTCGCCCACGAATAATGGTTTAAATAATGAATTTTAAGTTTTAACTCTCAATGATAACAACTCTAACTAGTTTTTACACATTTCAAACTTTCCTTTAACCCGGTTGGAAGGAATTATAACTATAAACTAAAATAACCAACGCAGCTTGCTATCGTCACAAAACCACAAACAAAAAGCATGAGTAAGAAAGAAAAACCCACGGTGCCCAATTCAGATTGAAACCAAAAAAAAAACTGGATAATTTATTCTTTTGGGGACCACTCTCAAGTCTTACCACAAACAAATAAAACACAAAAAAAAACTTTTAATAAAAACGAAACAAAAGGTAGAACACAAAAAGAGACTCTTCACAAAGAGACCATAAAAAGTTAACCCACTTCCGGCCTGACCCACCAGGACAACGTCGCTCGGTTTAAATGCCCACACCATGCACTACGGCACTACAATACTCAATTTTTGAAAAGAGTGGCTCCAGAGTGAGCAATTCTTTAAACTAACTGAACTAATATAAAAACACTTTTGCGATAACAATTAATAACAAATCATAACTAAAACTAATTTAACAAGAAAAGATATATGTAAACGATAAATGCAGTGTATATAGATTTCGTAAAGCCCAAAAAACGAGCAGCAAAAGAGACGATAACCCAATCACAATCCCAATTCGGAATGGCAAATCTATTTGATTCGCTGCCTAAAGTCACTAGCCTCAAAAGGTTTAATGTATGGACTCAACATCCCAGCAAAGGAAAACCATTGAACCAGACCAGTGGCCATCTCGATGTAGACTACACGTACCATTCCTAGCCACTTGGCATTTCACACGGAAAAATTAAACTTCAACCTGCACGTAGTTTCGCTCTTAACTTAGCGAAATCGATACATCATTGCATCGATCAGAAGTCTCGACACAATCAACCAAAGCTTTTTTCGGTCATCGGAACCTATCTAGAGATACGAACATGACAATCTTCAGCCATCAACCAGCAGCCACACATCTTCTTTCTCAAAGAAGCCAATGTTCGCAACTTCAAAAAAAAATACATCACCCATCCTTCACTACATCAACCAATTAAAAACTAAAAACTCTTTAAACCCCGGATGGGTGGAACCAGTTCTAAACTAGAGTTTAAAATTGTGATAAAGATAAATCTCTATTTCTGTAAAATATACATAATTACATCTTTTTAATCATCTTCCATCTCTAACATTTACACTTATTTGTAAGTGCAGAAACTACTTGTAGTTTCAGCACCAGAGCATTTTGAATTAAACTTAGAATACAGTTGTGCTCCTTCTGGAAAGTAACTAGAATAAACAAGTATACACTAGATCTATTGAGACTAGGAGATATAAGAGTAAGATTGAGATCGGTATTAGACTAAGAAGTTCCGGCCGAAAATAAGATAGCGTGACGAGCAGAGGGTGTACCCTATCTGAAATTAATCTATGAGTTATTAGTTAACAAAATTTAACAAACAAAAACTAATCGTAATATGATAATAAGTATTGACCCTGTTTTTAGGAATGACCTCGTGGTCTGGCAATCATGAAGACTCAACCATGAGCTCACTGTTTTTGCATGTAACTGTACTTTGCATGAGCTCACTGTTTTTGCATGACCCAATGTTAATGGACCACACATTGGACTGGCTTTGGTATAGACGGTTAAAAGCATGTGAAGCTGTGTTTAGACGCTAGCCAGTCTTTTTGGGACCTAGCTTTATTTTCCGTCGGTATGTACTTCCAGGCGAATGTTATATCCAGTATAAAATAGGTATGTATTGTCAAATTGGTCGAGGTCAATATTTCCTATTTTTCGTGATATGTTCAATAATTGACTGGTTTTTTTCCAAAAAATTTTGTCAGCTTTTCTTGTTTGAGTTATTGTAATTGAAGTTAGATCTTTTTGTCTTGTTAATAAAAGATCTAGGCATCTCAAGTGTGGTGGCTAAACAAGGGAAACCTCTAAGAGTTTGAAAAAGTCCAACACTATATAACAAAATGGATATAAGGATCGAACATCAGTTACCCTAACCGCCTCGTTTCCCTGAGAATGGAAATTTTTGTCAGTCTGTTCTACGTTTCCAGCTATCTGTAATAAATTCTTCTCAGATGTCAAGGTGAATTAGTTTTCTAGGTTTTATTTTTGTTATGCTTGATCTCTCTTTTCAACTCCTCCCGTCCTTCCTCATCATACTTGAGTTTCCTATCTATCTGCTCTAGTTTTGGCATCAGGTCATTTATGTCTAGCGGCGATCCCTTAGATTCCGTTGATTTTCCCCCTGCATGATATTCTGGTCCGCTGGTGGCTTCCGCGCTTTGTGCTCCCCCTTTTCCGGTGTCCGTTGTTTTTGCAGAAACCCTCCCAGAGGTCTTGCTTTTTCCAGTCCTAGTTATCACTTCCTATCTATGTTTCAGTCTCATCCCCACCATGGCGGCAACGCTCTGCGTGAAGGGTATCTCCTTCGACTGTGAATCATCTTTTATCGCTTCTTGGGTGTTGGCAGTAATCTCGTTACCGTCATCTATTGTTACTGTTTTTGCTTCTTGTTCCTTGGTATACGGCATTGTTGTTGGCTCCATCGTGTTTTTTTCGCTAAGGTGTCTCTAGATCAATTTCTTCAACGGGGGCACTTTCTCGTTTCTCAAGTTTATCACCATGCAGAAACGTTTCTCTTGAATCTCGGTATCATGTTCACTGGTGTCAGTTTTGAATGTCCTACGTGGCGATTTTGCCTTGGTGCACATTTGCCTTGTTGCGGCCAAGACACTCTTTTTTTCATATTCCTCTCTTCAATCTCTAGTTTGAATGGCTGTTCATATTCCTCTCTTCATTCTCTAGATTGAATGGCTGTTCGACTGACTTTTTCTTCAATCTCTAGTACTATCTATTCACAGTTCTGTTTAGGTACACTTATATATCCAGGCGCTTACTTTTTTCTGCATTGCCTCATCAATTTTGGTTGATCCGTAGTTTTGCTTGCTAACTTGAATTTCAAAATGGAAAGTATTCTGACCTGAGGAGGAAATTGGGATTATGTCAAAGTAACTAAACATGCGTTTTGGCTGTTCGACTGTCTTGGTGAACTTCCTATGTACAACACGGCGGAAAATTGATTCATTGATTCCAGCCTTTTTGATGGCAGTTTTTTACGCCACTTATTCTGTAAAGCAGATGTATTTGACATTGAATGCCTCTTCAGAATTAGCGCAATGACTACAGGCAATCAGAAAGTATCTTATTATTACGATGGGGATGTAGGGAATTTTTATTATGGACAAGGGCACCCGATGAAGCCTCATCGTATACGAATGACACATAATCTCCTGCTGAATTACGGACTGTACCGCAAGCTAGAAGTTTATCGACCATTCAAGGTAAGTGAAAGTTTCTTTGACCCCTCTCAAGCAGAAGTTCTGAATTTCAATTCTAATGTATGTCAATCAGGCTTGGCAAAAATCTGCGTTGCAAAATACCCAAAGTCTGCAATGGACGACTGCGTTAGTTTTTTGAAAAATTTGAGCTGTTTTCTGCGGAGAATACGGAAATATGCGGCCAAAAGCGTAAATTTTATGCATTTTATTTGACTGAATTTTTGGTTGATTTTAATTGGAAATTGGCTTTGGGTATGTGGGTTAGAATAGATCAATTTGTGCCATTATCTGTGTTTCTTGCATTTTATTTGACTAAACTTTTGGTTCTTTTTAATTGGAAGTTGGCTTTGGGCATATTGATTTTTAGTTCGTGAGAATTCTAATTCAAAATAGAACAAAAAATTTTTGCCAATTTTTTCTTTTCTATGTATATCACCAAGCTCCAAAAAATCTGAATATTATGGGTTATAGGTTTTCTGTGGGCTTTTGCAATATGTTCAAAATACGCGGAGTTCCGCACCGCATGTTTAAGCCATGCCTGATATCAATCATTTGATTTAGGCTAGTTTTGAAGAAATGTGCAAGTATCATACGGATGAGTATGTCAAATTCTTGCAAGAAATCATGCCTGATAACATGTCAGATTACAGTAAACAACTGCAGCGGTTTAACGTGGGAGAAGACTGCCCTGTGTTCCATGGCCTCTATGATTTCTGTCAAATTTCTTCTGGAGGAAGTATTGCAGGAGCCGTAAAGTTGAACAAAAAACAGACAGATATCGCCATCAATTGGGCGGGAGGCTTGCATCATGCCAAGAAAAGTGAGGCATCCGGTTTCTGTTATGTTAACGATATCGTGCTGGCTATTTTGGAGCTCCTCAAATATCATCAACGAGTGTTGTACGTGGATATTGATATCCACCATGGAGACGGAGTAGAAGAGGCGTTCTATACAACCGATCGAGTGATGACAGTGTCGTTCCACAAATACGGGGAATACTTTCCCGGAACTGGTGATCTGAAAGATATCGGCGCTGGCAAAGGTTACTTTTTCGCATACTATAAACTACTAAATCAAGCCGAAGCCCTATTCCCAAAAATAATTTTGGAAGTATAATCCCAATCAATTCTGAAAATATTTATTATTTTTGACGATTTTTTTGAAAATATTTTTGATATTCCGCAAAAAATTTAAATTATTGAACTAAGTTGTTCAAGAATTCTTTTTTTTCTCATAAAAAATTTTCTGTGAATAACAGTTGCCATAATTTTTAGAATATTTTAAAAAAACGGTTCAGAATCGATAATACCAACAAAAATTTCATTTTAAGGCAAGCATTATGCAGTAAACTTTCCATTGCGAGATGGAATAGACGATACGAACTTCATCAATATCTTTGAGCCGATCGTGACCAAAGTGATGGAGACATACAGACCCAGTGCAGTTGTGTTGCAGTGCGGAGCCGATTCACTTTCTGGAGACAGACTTGGATGTTTCAATCTTACTCTCAAAGGCAAGTTACAGCTTCATTGCAGTTGTAGGAGTTTCATTCCTAGTTTTATCATCCTTATGAGAAAACTGGAAAAACGAATATGTAAAATGTGAAACTTCCATGAACTTCGAGTTGTTTGCCCTTGCGATAGCAAGGGTATTGCAATCGGGTACTAGAATTTTTGTGTTCTTGTGTTATTTTTTCGGATGCTGAATCAGTAATTTTGCGTAAATTAATTGATTCTTGAAACAAAAACGTTTCTAATAAAAATCGAAAACATCAAGGTAAAATAATAAAAATTGGATTTAAATCAATCGAGAATATACATCAGTTTTTTATGCAACCCTGTTCCAAGTAGCTGTTACCCCCATGCTGAGATGACAAAGCCCGGGAATTCGATTTCAGTTAACACTTGTTTTTCTTGCAAATAAAAAAATTTGGCTATTTTAGATTATTGCCAGTCTGCTTATTTTAGTCTGCTTATTTCCGCAGAAAGGACTTTTTTGAAAACTTGGCTTCTTTATAGCATTCAGAAAACTCGTTGTAGAGTTTTTAATACTGTGGGCAATTTTGTTCCGGTTAAGTTGTGCTTTTGTTGCAATTTCTATTGACAAAAACGATTTTTTGAATTTTTTCTTTTGATTTTTCTAGCCATTCATATTTGTATCGCAAGTGGTGCGAAGCTCAGTTTCGTCTCTGTGTCAGAAATTGCTTATGGCTGATAACTAGTAAACAAAGGTTCGTTTTAGGTCACGCGCATTGTGTTGATTTCATGAAAACATTCAACGTGCCACTATTGATGCTTGGAGGCGGAGGCTACACCATCAAGAACGTTGCCAGGTGCTGGACTCTGGAAACAGCAAGAGCTTTGGGAGTCGAAGTTTCAAACGACCTTCCCTATAACGACTATTTTGAGTACTATGGTCCAGATTTTCACCTTCACATCACACCTACAAACCAGAGCAACCAGAATTCAAACGAGTATCTGGAAAGCGTGAAGACAAAGGTGTTTGAGAACCTAAGAAGCATCCCTTTCGCACCTGGACAGCAGATGAGAGATATTCCTGTGCACACAACTGTCGAGCCGTGAGTTTATACTTATATTAGCGAGCACGCAAGAGGAGTGACAATCTAACACAATCTGCTTTGTATCTAACAACTTCAAATTTTGGCCAGGAGGTCTGAGTTGGAATCTTATATTGTGGGTTTTTTTATATCGAAATTGTTTCTATTTTCTTGCATTTGCTCTTTTTACCGTTTTTGAGCTCCTTTTTTGCGTGTCGTAGTGTAATGCAGATTCGTCTGTTCTTACATTCATTTGAGTATACGAGATTTTAACAAAATGAAGTGTTTCGATTTAACAAAATCTGCTTATTCAGTAAACAGTATAAAACTAACTAAGTCTGTCAAGTTTTGTTTGGCGAATTGAAAACGCGTTATTATTTTCTTGATTCAATTTTTTTTCCTCAAAAAAGGAGTCAGGCGTTTTTCTCCTTGTTGATTTGTGTACCACCAATAAGCATCAGATGGAGTTGAGTAATTTATCATTGGACGGCCCTCTCACTCGTAATTACACAAGCAGCCGCTCGTGTTACATTACGAGTTCATTTTGTCCTCAGCCTAACTCGCATAAATGAGCGCTCAGCTGAAATCTTTAGTTTCTCCATCTGGTTATTGCTAATTCGTATAGAGAATTTATTAAGACATTTAAAAGCATTTACATAATTTCCAGACAGCGAAGCTAAGTTTTCATGCTTTTTATGAGTGTAGTACAATCATCAGATAGTACAATAATTTGAAAACGACACGATGAAACAAGAAAATGACACGACTGTCAAATATATTTTTTTCTATATTTTAGTAAGAATTCAGCGGATTACGTGTTAAATGGTAAATTTCTTGAAGTGGGGAACTCGATTGAATCTTAGCATCTAATAGGTTCTTTTGCTCTTGGCTTAGAGGTAGCGCCGTTGCTTTTCCAACCCTAGGTTTGAATCCCGACAGGACCTGTTTTTTTTTTCAAACGAGAAAGATTCCGTTTCAAAAAAGTTGATGTCGGCTTGTTTTTTCTGCTAACGTATTTTCCGCAAATGATACATCATTCCAGACATCATTTTGAAGTTTTTTCGTTGTGGTTTCTTCGAAAAGTTTTTCCGTTTTCTATGGACTTAGTGGCTCCCTTTTCCTTTCCTGTCTGCTAGCTTTCAATGCTATTTTGTGGTATCGCTAGTGATGCGAAGCTCCGCTTAGCCTCTGTGTTTAATATTCAAATGGCTAGCTTGACTTCTTTGCTTAGCAGCAATACTGTTTGATAAAAGCAGGTATTCGGAAAATGAGTGGTTTTGATTTTTTTAATTCTTTTTTTTGAAGCTTTGGAATTTTTTAAAAAGTTTTTGGAAAAGCTTTTGAGAAAAACCTCCGAATAGACTTTCAAAAAAGGGGTATCAAAAGAATTACCGCCTACTCCTTTGGTGTGCCTGCATATTCTCCTAGTCTCTTATCTTTTGACCCCTCTAATGTACAGACTTCGAAAAAATTCTGCGGGGAACTATTTTTGAAAAGATCCCCTGCAAAAGCGTCTATGCCCAATTTTGGTTACACATTTAGTTCTGGCACTCGGAATAGTCAACTTTTTGATATTTTGACTGTTTTCAGTCTTTCTGATTTTTCTCGAAAACTAACCTCTCAAATCTGCGAATGTGGGTTCATTTGAGATAAGGGGTAGCATTAGCCAATGCCCTGCATTAGCGGCCACACACAATGTTTTTTTAACCTAAGGTTATCGCCCTCAGAAAAGTCAAATTTTTGATTTTGTCCGTTTTTTCAAACTTTTCGTTTCTTCTCGAAAACTACCCTCCCATATTTGAGATTTGAGCTTTAATTCAAAGAACAGGTTGTAGGAAGCTACTTTGCACATGCCGACATGCGTCTACGCCCAAGTTTTAAACAAAAGTTACGGCCATTGGACAAAATCTATAAGTCCAGTTTTGGAAGCTTTTTGACTACTCGAAAACTACTGCGCCAATTCTCAGGTTAGTTGGCTATGTTATATTAGATTGAAGTTTTCTCTGAAATGAACCGTTTCTTAAGTCAGATTGTCGTTGTTTTCTAGTATTACTTATGAAGAGTCGATGATCGTAGATGATTTTTTCCCCTTTTTTTAGGAAAAGTCTAAAACTTGTTCACGCTCAAATTTGATTTTCGAAATTCTAGAAACGCCACTGTAAGGATTTTGAGGTCATTTATGTAATAGTAATTTACGTGTTTAATATGCACGTTATCACAGCCTCGTGAGTAGATAAGCGTGTTTTTTTTGTTCCGACCATTGAAAATGGGGAGGAACATTGTATTTGGGTGTGTTTTAATTTTTGGTGTAGCTCTTTTTATCACACCACGCCGAAAAAAAAAAACAATAATTTGAAAGACTTTGTAGTATTTTTTAAAGATTTTGGTCGGAACATTCTGTGCTACTTGCACAGTAACCGGCTATCCTTGTTGTTGTTTACAGCACCCTATTAAGGAGTCGGAAAGAACTATGGCATGTTTTTTTATATAGTCATTTTGGGCATTTTTTTTCAAATAGTCGTACTGATACATAGCCTTACAAGGGGGTGAATGTCAGAGAGCAAGTTGGGTCCGCAATTTTTCTTCTACGAGTCCCATTCGACTAATTTAATATGTTGCTGTTTTCGAATTACTGACTTGAGAAATGAAGTCTTTCTTTAACAATTTTAGAGAAGTTCCAGCTGACCAGCCACACGACGAGGGATCGAAGGCACATGAGGATAAGAGGATCTCGATTGCGGCATTTGACAAGCGAGTGGCAAGAGATGATGAACTCAGTGACAGCGAAGACGAAGGTGAGCAAAAAACATTGTAATTAAAGGCAAAATATAGTTAGAAAAGATTGGGAGATTAGTGTTTTGGACACGGTAATGACCAATTTCAATTAACAGTAAAACGGCAAATTGATAAAAACTATCGACTACTGAAGTGGTGCATTTTTAAGAACAATTCGTGGCTGATTCAATCTGAGCTCAGCAAAAGTTGTTGACATAATGCTTAATTCTTTTCGTAGGAGACGGCAGAAAAGATCATTCTGGATTTCCGACCAAATCGAATGGATCCACAGCCGCGCCAAGTGCTGCAGGTGTGGTATCCAGCACGGACTCTTCGGTGATGGAAGTTGCACCATCATCCGCCAAGTAGACGAAGACGCAAAGGCCAGATGAACTTTCTCCTGTGACTAAGGATAGCTGAAATATCTCGTGATTTTGACTCGATTTGAAAAATAGTGTTTTTATTTTAAATTAATTTATGTCTATTATGATGACGTTTGTTGGCATCTGTGACCGCCAATTATATATATACGTCTTGTGTTGAGATTTGCAATGACATCGGAAGTTTACTGCTCTTTTTTATAATTTATGTTTATTCTGTTTTGCATTATACTTGTCTAATTTTGCAATAAATAACGCAAAAGTCAGCGTCTTGTTGTCTTCGGTTTAAAGTAGGTTAAAACCATCGTGTTAGCTTAGTTATCACCACGTTATTCATCCTGGCCATTTTCAAGGGAATTAGATTGAAAGACCATTTGTTAGAATGTTTTCTTTTGGAAAAGCGGCCCCCAATTTTTTCTAAGAGGTAGCAAGGTATAGATCATTTGCTACTTTTTTGCAGGTCGAGCCGTATTTTATAGTTCAATGGGTTACGTCTCAAGTAGCATAATTTTCTTATGGCATTTAATTGAAAAAATTCATAAATGGCACAAATTCATGCATCAGTGACATGCAAATTATCCAGAGAAACTTGTGAATAGTTGATTGAAACTTTTTTGTGAAAACAGCTAAAAGAATTGTTATCAAAAGCTTACGCATGCTGTTACTAATTAGTTTATTGTGATCGATTTTTTGAACACAATTGTTTTGGAAGCAATTAATTTCGAAGATGTTCCCATGTTTTTGTTACTGGTAAAATGTACAATTATATGTTGATGAAAGTATCGAGTTTCAATGAAAAATTGATATTTATGTCGTTGGGAAAACTTTCTTTTTTATGCCGTTTGGGAGTTGTGAATTTTAAGGGCGTTAATGAAATGATTTCAGTGACTTTATTTTCAATGATCGGTTTTTAAAATTTCCAAAAATTTTAGCGCTTACTTTCTGCATGATCAATTTCAGGTTTTGACTTAAGCTTTTTTACACAAGCATAGCTTGTGTTATAGTGTGAACTTTCTTTTTTTTTCAACCTAAGTCGCAAATATTGTTGCGATGCAGTCGTTGCGACAAAATGTGTTCATTTTGATCCAGCTATTAAGTACAGCCAATGCTAAGGATATTAACACAGGCTGTTATATTACAAAAAGCACTTTAATTTCATGGCATCATTGGTCTGTAGCGTAGAAGTAGGGAAGGAGACCAGCAGCAAAATAAGAGTGTTCGAACCTGAGCAGAGTCGCATGTTTTTAATGAATTTTTTCGTATACTAGTGAAAATGCGTCCGCTCTATGAATTGAGGCATGTTAGTTGGTATTTTTTTTTCAAATTGACTGATACTGCTAATGCGTCATAATTGACCTGTGTCACTTAGCAATTATGTAGACTCATAATTGGCGTGCGTCACTTATGAAATTTTGTTCACTCAAAGTTTTACTCAATCAGTTTTTCCCGGTAGCGTTATCGGTCATATTTTTGCTTGTGGAAGCGTAGTGCAACTTAACCTGTGTTAACGTTTACCTGCATTTGATTTGCTGAATAGAAGGCAAACTACGCTCTACAGTATCGAAATTGCTAGCCGCGGAGAAAAAAGCGATTGATGAATTTTCAAGGGAAGATTTGATTATTAAGAATCGATGAACCTAATGAACAGTTGTTTCTAGGTCGTTATGGTTTTTTTTTCATAGAAATGTTTGAAATTTGTTGACGCTCAAATTTGATTTTTCGCGGTTTGTTGAGGTTTTCGCTGTTTGAGTTAAGTTCAGTTTGCTTTTTGTTTAAAGAAAGGCAAATTCTCCTATCGAACAGCAAAATGATGTAAAGTTGAATAAAACGTGATCGTCTTCTACATTCGAAAGTGGATTTTAATTTTGAAAGTTCGCAGCGGAATAAAAAAAAACAATTCTCTATGGATCCAGGTTTCTCAAATTGGGTTAATTTATCACGAAAGTGGCAATCATTAGTTTTTCTTAAAAATCTAAGAGGTTTAATGCCATATATTTTCTAAGAGTAATGAAGGTAGTGAATACTCGTATATAGGTCTTGGTGATTTTTTTTTTCATGAAAGTCTTAAAATATTGATGCACATAGGGTTATATGCACTTTTTGAGTTCAATTGAAATTAATCTGCTGAAAGAGACGTAAATAGAACTCTCCAAATACAAACGTGGAAATGGCGCAAAAAACGTGAAATTATTAGATTTCCAGCGGAATAAAACCTTTACCTATTGATCCAGTTTTTTCTAGTCGGGTTAATGTTATCAAAAAAGCACCGATCAGAAACTTGTTCTAGAAATTCAAAGAGCTTAAAGGACATCTATTTTTTCATTGAAATTCGATATTTGAGATTTTTGCTACAAAGTAAGTGTATTTTTCATGTTTACTTGCTTTCATTACTCTTTTCCGATCTTCGATTGGCTATGTTTACTTTGAACTGCCAAAATGTAAATTTTTTCATAAAACAAGTCTTTTTTTTTCTGTTTTCTTGCGTTCATTGCTTCTTTTAGGCTATGAAGGTCTACGCATTCATGCTATGAGCATACATCATCCAAGGTTTCCAGGCCTTGCCCGCGACAAAGGAAGTTTTTTTAATTGTTCAAATTGTGTCAAAAAGTGCCAGAAAGCATTAAGAGAAAAAGTACTTATCATCCTGCTTTTTGGCACAATTTGAACTGTGTTCAGTACTTTTTCTCTTCATGCTTGAGAACTTTGGCTATAAAGTCTTTTTTCATTGGTTGAGGAAAATCGAAAAGTATCTTAGATTGAAATTATAACTTAGGTCGATAAGATTTTTAAATTTAAAAAATATCTAAAATTTGCGCCTTCTTGTCTTATCATCTGCAAATTTATTGAAACTACATGTATGTAGGTTATGGTTTTCTGCTTTGATGGCATTTTTTATTTGCCAATAAGTGTCAATGAGCGATGTGAAGAAACTTACTTAGGTCGTAGTGTTTTTTAGAAGTCTTTTTTTTATTAAGCTCATATTTGATTTTTAGCTGTTTGACTTTTTAGATGTTTTAACACTTTTTAAATGTAGGCAAATGACAGTTTTAAATTACAAAAGTGCAATTGGAGTAAAAAAATATGAATGATTTCTTGTTTCGAAACGAACTTTAGATTTCCCAGCGGATTAACATATTACTTATTGATCGAGTTGTCCGAAATTGGGTGAGGTTTGTCGCAAAGTTTCCTTCATAAATTTTTTTATTTCATAACGCTTGAAGCCGATCTGTTTTCTATGAAAAGGTTTTTAAAAATTTTGTCAGTTTTAATTGACTTTCTTTAATTGTCTGTTTATTGTTTGTTATTTTGCTGAACTAAAGATAAAACTTTATTATCAGATTTGTTTGTGACATAGTGCAAAAACATGAGCGAAGCTAACTTCGAATCAGTTTCTGAATCGTCGATGGAGAATTCGGATCCCAATCAGGCGATTGCAGGAAAATCTACCTCTGAAAAATGCGAATCATGCTTGGAGATCTTCGAGATCGAGACTCTTTTCAAGTGTACAACTTGTATGGACAAACAAGAAGCTACAAACTCTGTGGATTTTTATTGTGAGGTCTGCATTGTCTCTCATCTGAGGAAAGGTCATACGTTGCTCGACCATAAGTCACTCCAACCAGCTGTATGTGGGGTCCACAAAAATCTATGCTCTTTATTCTGTTCTACCTGCGAGGAAATTTTGTGTACGAATTGTGTTGAGAAGCATACAAATCACAGCATTATGTCAGTGAAAGAAAAGGCAACTGAGGTCAGGGCGATAGTTTTCGAAATGATAGCTGAATTAGATGCAAGTGAAAAAAGTGTACGGAGTACAATGGAAGGGATTAATGAAAACAAAGAAACGCGTCTGAATGAGTATGAGCAGTTAGTCCTCCGTGTATCGTCGGTATTTGACCAAATGAAACAAAAAGTTTTGGATCGGATCAAAGTTGATCACGAAAAGCTAGCCAGGTTAGAGAACGACTCGACTGGAAATTACGATCTTCTTCTAAATTGCCAAAAGGACCTTCGTGAATTGTTGTCATGCTCTGAAGCGAATATGGTGAAACAATTGGGGGAAAAGAAAAAAGAAGTAGAGCTGATCAAAGCAAAACAATTGCAGCTCCAGTCGTCTGAAATAAAAGGTACTCGTTGTGCAGTTTCTGAAAATGCAGATGGATTAGTTGACAAGTTCACAGACGATTATTTGGGAAATGTTGAGATGCCTACCATAGCGGCTTTTGAATATATAACTGGTCTCCAGAATGAATTTGGGTTTCAAGAAAGCTTTGTGCATTCGTATAATTGTTTTGAGGGTGAAGTATATTATTATGTGAGAAGTGATGGCAATAGAATTAGTGTGTCTGAATGCAATTTCGCAGACTGTGAAGATGGTGTGAAGATAAGCAAGGCTGAGGTAGCAGAATACCAATGCGATTATCCAGTCCAGAAATTACGAACCTACAATTGCGTTGGCGCATTACAATTACAAATAATTATGGTTTGGACGGTAAAGGAGTATCTTGTTTTCAAAGCGGACATTTACGATCCTATAAATTTCAATTATTCATTTACAGAAGTGAAAGTACAACTTGGACCAACTCAGATTCCTCTACTATATTTGACAGCTGTGATGAACGAAGTGGCTCATTTCCTTTATTGGGACAAAAGAGAAAAGCAAATCAAACAAACGAATAAAAGTGAAGTATCGTACAGATGTGATTCGCTACCTCGAACGTTCAACTCGTACAATGATAGTATCTACGTGCATTTTAATGATGAAGCAAATAATATAGTAGAAATTGACACGCATCTTGGTAGACGAAACAACATAATCGAAATCATTAAGGCGAGCTTGCATAAAGTTGACCATATAAGTTCCATATCTTTTATTGAAGATACTCTCATCATCTGGTCACTGCCAGCAAGCTCGTTGACATTTTTGAGAAAATCAGCCGCGCATTCACCCTATAAAATACTAAAAACAGTATCAATTGGCTCCCAGTTTCACTATTTTACTGCGACAGTACCTGGGGTTAACGTAACGATGAAGTTCCTTGTCACGGCAAAAATTGAAGACGAAAGAGGACATTTAATTGACAAAAACGTGTTTATGATTAAAAGATGATTCGTTTGAAGCATTAGATGTTTACTTATTGAATCTCATGCGCATTATGAATACCAAGATGTCTAATTGTCTGTCTGAAACGTTTTCTAGTGATTATTTTAGATACCAAAATTTAAATTCATATTACTTTAGCCTCAATTTCACCAACAAGATCCGGTTTTTGCTGCTTAGTGTAATTGTTCCGACCCTCTTCAAAGAGTGGGAAGGAACCATGGTATAAGGGTGGTCCCTTCCCCCCCCCCCATGCGATATCAGATATCTCTAAGAAGTTCTGGGGGATCGATTGTGTTATGATGTTAGAGCTTTTGAGTCTTGATTCAGGTTTAAAAAATATCATTTCAACAAAGTTTTTTCAGTGTCGAGAAAAACTGGGAGTCGAAATTCATCCCGCGCCATCGAAAACAATCAAATTTGTTTAAAAAATGTCTTTTTTGGAAAAAAAATATTGCGTTTTCTATTTTAAAGTTCTGTGAAAGGATACTTGCCTAGTAACTAGCTACTACTGAGATACCATAGGGGTGACGTTGTTATGTAGATCCATCGTCCATTTTCATGCAGCTGTTTGCAGCATTTTATATAGATTACTTAGGTATAGATTGAGGCATACGCCCTTTTAGCAAATGAACTACGTATCCTGGAGAAAATGTTGTATATGACGAAATAAGTTCTGACCTAGTTCAATTCAAACGACTAGGGTTTTGACGGTGTGAAATACTGCATTTGACCCATTGTAAACCAAAATAGTAAACACTACACGCCCCTTCAATTGGGCCTAAGTTTCTCATTATTGAGGTGTCCCACTCAACTATTAAGTGCAATGAGTGTTATGACATAATTAGTCATGTCCAGTTCATAACTTCTTAGGTGGTTTATTGTCCTTCTATATTATTTTTAGCTGACTCGTAGGTATGTCTACAATAACGTACACCTAACCTCAATTGATCAAAACTAGGTACGGTTGTGTGGATTGAATCAAAGCTATTGGTCGTCGACCTTTCAGATCTTCTGAACGAGAGCACTTTCAGAGTCGCAAAAATAAACATAACATTTAGGTTCATTAGCTGTCTAGTTTTTGCTTTTATCAACCGGCTGCTCTCGTGAAGTTGATATGATTCGGCGGCCTTGTGATTTGATCCATAAACCTCTTTCTTTGAAGACCAATTTTCACAAATTGCACAAATTAATATCAAAGCCAAGAAGCAGACGATACTTTACTGAAGTTAAATTTAACTGCCTGAAGGATCTGTTAGTTGTTCAAAAAAAGTTTGAGACCAAAGAAAACAGAAGAATAATTGTGCCGAAAGTGCGAAAGTATTGTAAAGTTGTTTGAAAAACTGTCGGTCAATTTTGAAGTTTATTAATGACCCGAAGTTTTGCCGAAACATGAAAAGCTAGACTCGCTGAAGTACATTTTGAAAATTATCCTTTTTGGGACTAAATAAACTTTCTTTGTCATTCGGTTATTAAAATTTAAGCGAGTTGATAGTAATACTATTGTTTTCTATTTACTAAAAGAGCTCGACTCTCTGATTGCAGCTGTAAAAGAAGTCTGGCTTCGGATCTGTAACCGGTTACTGTTCAGACTTGAATTGTAATATTTCCAAACTTAGTAGGCGAGAATGACTACTAGCTTACTACTAGTTGATCAGACTAATTCAATTGGCTAAATATATTAATCCGAAGAACCAGTGTCCATTTTGTTTCTCGCGCGACGACTCAGGGAGCTGTGATATATACAACGGATTGGATTATTGTAAGCCCTTAAATCGTAACAATTCCCAATTCCCCCAATTCATTCTTCTAATTTTCCTTCATCAAGTCAGCTCCGCTGATGGAACAATTATTATAAACTTGTCAAAATATTAAAATTATTAACAACTTGAGTGGCTCCTGATTACTGCTCTCATAAATAAACAGCTCCTCCTAACTTAATAATTACAATAACTTATTAGTTATTGCAAGCACTCCTATCCATCTCCAGTAAACCACACGTGGCAATAATCATTTATTTTGAACGACATTTCTGCGGTTTTGAAAGTTTGAGATATTTCGATCAAAATTTCTGACGTTTTCAATCAACATTCTTAGACATAATTTGTCGCCCCTCTCAAAGGTTAAATTTGAACTCTAACTTCCAAAAACAACTTATAATATGCTCTTAACACTCGAAAACTGCCATAACGCCTTCGATTCGGATGTTTTGCCCAATTTTGCTCTTCTAACCGAGCAAAACAGCTTCAAGAGCGAAGGAAACCCAGAAGACTTTTCTTTCTTTGATTCTACTGAATTTTCAAAACCAGTTTTTGCGGAAAAACTTGAGTTCGAACCCTATTCTCCATACCTGTCAGTTCCTGGCTACGGACTCCAAGGTTTCTCGAACCCCGCTGCCTGGATCGGCGCCGGAGACATGGACTTAAACGATCTTATACGAACGGACAACCCAAAAGTCTTCTGCACGCGACTTCCGCAGCACTACCGGAGCAACAAGAGTCTTCCGAATACTTTCGCTGTTGTGATTCAGGACCTGGACATCCCGCTTGGAACCCAAGTGACGGTCAGTGCCACCAACAATGACCACCCCAGTGCTGCTCTGCGGAACAACTCGGCCGTGGTGTCGGGGGAGCTCCCGGGAGTGGGCATGGTTGCCAAGTTCAGTGACCTCCGTTTTGTTGGCAGGAGTGGCCGAGGTTTGTTTGTTTTTATTTTAATTTGGATTTTCGATTCAATTTACGCATGGAAAAGTGTCTGACAATTTTAATGCTCAGCGTATCAATACTCGACTTTTTTTTCTTCGCATCCGGTATTTTTGGTCTGGTTTCACAAAAACGTGATGACGCCCTTACTCGGATTTTGAAAAGTTTGGTTCAAACACGTAAATGAATGAAGCTTAAATAGTGAGACCAGAACCTATGTTTTATCAATGAGTCGAAAAATGCGATAAAAAGACTTTGAGCATTATGATTTGCCCGTGACATCCCAATTTTGGTCTTATTTTGTTTCAATCAGCATTTTTTTCTTCTAAGTCAAAATTTTTTTAACCGAACATGTTAGGTCTCTTACCCAATTATGGGTCAAATAGAAAGCCATCTTAAGTCTGATCTTCTAATTATTGTGTCTAGACAACACACGACCTAAATTTCAGTTAGTTCTTGAAAAGTTCTGCAAAAAATAGAGAAAATCTTGACGTTGAAGAGCGGCTTAATGGTTAATTGGAAGTGAATTGGGTTAATAATATTAATTTTGAAAAAATTTGCAGTCTGAATTTTTAGCAAGTAAGAAAACTGAGCCACAGCTTTTAGTTGATTTCTTTAATGGTAAAATTATAATGGCTTTTTTTGCGTATCATAAGAGTTTTGTAATTGTTGCCAGATAGTATCCAGTACAAAAACTCATCAAATCCAGAACGATGGAAAATAGCTTAAAAAATATACATTGATATTCCAAAAAAAAAGAGTAATTCCTCGATAATTTAGCCAATTTTTGAACATCCTGTCGGTAGTCAAATCAACTATTCCTCTATCAATGGCAAAAGATTTGCAAGTCTTTTTGATACTGATTTGAACTCCGTAAATTGATCTTTTTTTGTTTGTTTCAGGGAAGTACTTTGCAGTGATTATTTCGATTCTAAGTGAGCCGAAGAAGATCGTGGCCACTTACCACAGGGCCATCAAAGTCACAGTGGACGGACCCAGAACATCCCGAAGTAAGTCTTCACACTTTATCCACCCACTTCAAAATTTTTGTTGGTACACAAATAGTAGTTTGGTGCTTGAAAAATTTGTGGTTAAAATCTTCAAAAACAGCATGTCCATTTGTGTACTTGCATTTTTCAACTAATCGCAAAGTTGATGGGACCCATTTTCTGTAATTCTCAACTACCATACTTGGACCTTTTTGAGAAGTAACGCGTTTTTGCCATCAGTTTTACAAGATCACAACTTAAAGCATAAAAAAACACCATATTTACATAATAAATTGTTTCCATGTCAATTTAAATGCCCCAGATTCATGAGCTCTATGGTGCTTGAGTGACTAATAATCAGTTCATACCCATTTAAAAACCCTTAATTTTTAAACTTTGTACATAATACGTTCGGCGATCATCTATGACTCATTTTTGCGCAAGTTATTCACTAAAATTTGGCCAGAGTATTTTGCCACCCTGAACCGCTAATCTGGGTATTAATTTGGACCAAATAGGCTAACAAACATCTGATTATCACTCTGGTTAGTTTATCCGAATCAACTATTTGGTTCCAGATCAACCAGGGATTAACTGTCCAGTAGATCTTGCATTCTGTGCCTGTACTAATCCAGTGTTGATAAAACTACATCTGTTTATTCCAGCGATGTGGTTTCGCCCTAAATCCAATTCTATTTCAGAGGGATTTACGTGTTGTGTATATAAGCTAAACATTGTTTGAATGAGTTAAATATAATTGAAAAAAATATATAGTTCATCCAATGTTCAGAAATGGATTTTTTTGCTGACTGAAAAAACTATCCTTCATGAAAAATTTGCGTACGGTTAACAATTTAATTAGTTCTTTTTAGGGGGGGGGGGATTTGTTGCCAGGTACCATATGGGGGCATATTTGAAGAGATCCTATATTTCTTTTACAAGGTTACTCCCTTTTCATTGGACGTGGACTTGAATTTCACCCAATCAAATGAACAACTATCGGACATTCCTTATAAGGAATGTACCTTCGTGACTTTCCTCAAACGCGAAACTACTTCTTGTAGCGAATACGGGAAAAGTAAAATATTCGTCATAAGTCCAGAGTCAAAACAGCTGCGATTGAGCGAACAGAGTAGTTTAGCCAGATATGTCAGTTTAATACCAGCAATAAATGATATTTCGGGTAGATCTACTGGCTAAGCCCACCTGATAGTTTTACCCCGTGTAGGTCAAATTGCAATTTCACCCTCTGTCTCGATCTAAGATCCGAAATGTAGTTGTATCCGCTGCTAATAACTATAGATATGACTCGTTTTATATTCTCCATTAAACTTGTAATTTGATTTTGGCTTGGCCCGCTACTAGGATAAAACCGCAAATATAACGGATTTCTTCGCCTTTTCCCTCTATTTTGACCTATCAAAATGTGAAGAAAGGATTTGAGGCGGAAATATCACCTATCAAGGTGGCTAGCTTTTGATTAAACTAGTCTCTAAAACTTAATCGAAAACAGCTAATGATTGCTTTTAATCCTATCAATTTACTTTTATTGTCTAATCTAATATTCCCTAATAACTTCTGAACCAAAAGTGCTTTTTATCTGAAGTCAGAAAGCTTACTTTTGGCCACCTAAGTTGTAAATTAGTTGTCATTCTAAATGTATGTTATGTGAAAATAAATGTATAATCTGTATATTTTCATTATAGAATTTTGACTGAGTAGTTTGGTAAATGACAAATCGTGCCAGACTTTCGGTCATAACTAACTTGTTAAAGTTAAGCCAAACCTTCGTATTGATGATTCACTGCTGATTAAATGATTAAATACGCCAACACAATTTTTTGAAAACAAACAACTCTTAACTTTGTGTTAACTAGTGATATTACACACTTAATGTTTAGGAGTGCCTTACTTGAATTGACACTTGGTAAATAAACATCAAGAAAATTCTTCCCGCTGTTCCCAGAAAATACATTTCCCCAAAAATAGATCAAAATGAAAAACATTAAACCTAAATTATTTGAAAGAAGAGCGAAAATTGTCCAATAGCACGAGAAGCCGAAAATTTAGAGGACAAACGAATAAGTTCATAAAATATTACTAAAACGTTGCGAAGTTGATTTCTCCGAATGGCTTTGGTTAAACGTAGTGTTTTAAAATTTGTATCTTCGTTAAGTCGAGTTGAATTAAAATATATAATTTGAATTTGTCTGTTTAGAAATAATGTCTGGGTGTGTCGGCGGTAACATGCAAAACAACGACATGGGCGGTGGGCGAATAAAACACGTGAGTGGTGGCTGCGAAAGCGTTACAAGTGACACCACAACCGGGTCCAATTGTTCCAACTCCCCCTCTGGCTCCAGCTTATGTCAGTCGCCTCTTCCAGACACGACCACCCTCTACCCGGTACAACATCAGCATATTAGTCCACATACATGCAATATCACCTCAAGTATCAGTTCGGGAGGTGTTGTGAGTTCGAATCTCGTTCCCTCCATGGACAGTGGATTGGGAGGGGGACTTTTGCAGTCGGCATACCCACCCGAAGTGACGCAAGTGCAACAGGGATGCGGATACGCTGGAAGCGAAGTGCAAGATTGCCTCTCAAACTCGCCTCAGTCATTGAATCAAGGTTGGTTTCTTAGTTCGAACTTCAGCTATAATACGTAAAAAGAGTGCAACTGAAAAAGTTTGCAGAAACAGTATCTGTGAAAATATTAGTTCATAAATATCGCCGGTCTCAATTTTGTGAAAATAGTTTACCGCAGAGTTTTGCATACTGCGAAAAATCATATTTCGAATTTTTTATTATTTTTTTTGCACTTAGAATTAGTGCGTAAGCTTTGACGCTCATTTACTATAAACAAAAATCTAGCTCTTTGTATTTTTTGTGAGACAAAAAATGGGTCTCTTTTCGGGCTTCTTTTTGCTGTTTGGACTGTTAAAAACAGTTTTCAGGCGTTGTAAGACTTCGGAATCAATTGCATTTGAATTGTGCTCCCAGCTGTTGATAGGAGTTGTCTCACCAACTGCTGAGCTCAATGATTCAAATCAATGAACTTTGCATGTTGGAAGTTGATTCTGTTAAACCTAGAATTTATAATGTTCTATTAAATAGTATAAATTTTGCCCTTAAAATAATGTTTTGAGGAAATAAATGCGTTCTTTTGGTAATAGATGAAAGATGTATATTGTAAAATTGAGTTCTGATTTTTCTTCCTGACTGTTTTCCTCGACGCTTAGACCCGAATTTAATTAACTTAGCTGTTAAGTGTTGAATTTTGAGACCTCTATTACAGGAAACTCCTGTTCGCAACTCCTAGATTTGACACAAATTAATTGGCTCCAGGGATTTGAAATCAGCTTCGGCCACAAAAAAGCGCATTTCAAATCGCCCCCGCACTTTCAAGACATTTTGACCGCGCGTAAAATTTGGAAAAGCCACAGCCAACCGGATAGTAGAATAACAGAGTAGGAAAGATAGCGACATAATTGTAACAGAATAATTGTTTTATTGTGAAGAACAATAAACTGATACTTGAGTTATTTTTGATTTGTTTATACTGCTAAGGCGGCGCCATTTCTCTATATATAGGTGGGGGCGTTGCTGCAAATAAAACGGCAGATGTTTTTTTCACTCCTATTTTTGACAGACTTTAAAGTTCACTACTCAATTTGGAAAATTCTTTTGAAATTCAACTTGAGACGCTACTAACTGTACTCTATGAATACTACAGTAGTTAGAAAATTGCGCGCGTGATTTGTTGCATATTTGAATAACTAATTTGACATGTCTATCTGTTATTTCCTTACAAGGAATGAAATATTCAATAATGATTTGTTTGTTTTTCAGATTTGTTCCAGACATCGTATTCCTTCTATCCATCGCCGGATCTAGCTCCTGCTTCCCAGTCCTGGCATGGCGAAGCAGTTAAGCCGGAACCGTACGAGTACCCTACGTGCGGCACATACCCATCTCTCGTATGCGCTCCACATGAAATGGTCGCAGGTTCGAACCCCGCTGGTAACCCGAATAATTCAATTTCAGTTTCGGACTGGCAGCTTCTGCAACCCTCGATTTTTAGTCTATCAGAAGCGAAATCTGAGGATTACAACTCAATAACAAGTGATGCAATAACAAGTATGAATAGCCAGAAAAATCAGAAGATGACCGGTCAGTTTAATCAAGGGTCAGGAGTTCAACAGAGGTCATTGCCCTCCGTACATACATTCCAACAGAGCATGACACCACTTTTACAGGAGACTTCAGTTACTACTAAATGCATATCTTACATTCAGCCTCAAAATGCGTATCAAAGTCCGAATCAGTATGTCAACCAGAATATTGTGCCTTTTGACCAGTCGAGTCAGAACCAACAAATAATCAGAGGTAATTTCGAAAATTTTGGGTCATCCATGCCACATATATCAAATTGCGTCGACCAAAATAATCGGTTTTTACTCCAACCGAGCCTATCAAATCCTGGATTTTGTTTTGATAACCAAACATCTGCGGGTTTGAATATCAGTAGCCAGGCAAATACGTCGGCAATTTTCCAAAACAGCAATAACCAGAGTCATAACTACTTAACAGAGTCTTATCCAAATTTCATATCGAATCAAGTCGAGTTCAAACCAGTTTCCAACAATCTAGAATCATCTTCAGTGTCAAAATTGCCTTCAGGAAAGGAAAATGAATCAGATAACTTTGATGGTCGAAAAGAGTCAGATCCTGTTATGCCTCAGCGTGAACAAACCGATGAACTTGATCTCGATTTCGAATCCATTCAGCCCATGATGTTCGATGGCAGTGACATGGTGGACATCAATGACCAGCTCTGGAGGCCATACTAGAAAGCCATTAAGAACTTAGAAACTGAAAAGTAGTGCCATAGTTTAGTTCTTTTTGCCGAAATTTGTGCCTCAAACGAGTCTTTAGATGCATTCTTTATCAGCAGGGTCTCTCATCTTTCGTATATAGATTAGCTTCTCGCAGCTTAAATATTTTGTACAACTCAAAATTAATTTTTGTATTATTTATTCTTTTTGTGACAAAAACTTTCAGGTCTTCGTTGGAACCAGCTGAGCAAACTTGATAACAATTGGCAGTGATGTGATAAAAAAACTTCCGATCTGATAATGCCTTAACGGATATTTCGATGCTGGCTAGAAGTTCTTTTGACAGAGGCGATACACAGCTACGCATCACTTGCGATACAAAACAAACATAGCATGACATATAAGCAAACAGAAATTGCGACGAAAGCCGCTTAGTCAAAAAAAGTTTTGAAAATGCCAAGAAAAGCTGGATCTAACAAATAATATGACAAATATATATGACAAATAAGACAAAAAAAGTTACAATTGCATCAAAAAAAGTTGTTAAAAAAGTCTTTTCATTACAATATATTAAATTATCGCTTCAAAAGTCTCACGCTCATTGGAGACGGTTTTAGCTCATCCAATGATGTAATATGCTGCCACTAAGTCAGTTAAATAAAAATTTAAAAGTCGAGTAAACAAAGATAACCCAAAAAAATCGAAATTATACGGAATCGTAGTTAGTATTTTAAAATCAACATAAAAAGAAATTTCGACAAGAACTTGTTTTTGTAATGCAAACATCTCTAATTTTGTCTGTTGGTTGACGAAAGTTTAGATTTAGAAAAAAATTTGGTAATTTTGTTGGATAGGTTAATTACAAAATTACTTTGTTCCGAAATGATGATGCTTGCTAATCGCGAGCTCAATCACCGCATACGTAACAATCCGTGCTCATAAATGAACGGAGCAAAAATTTCAAAAAAGAAAGAAATTTGGCATTTAAGTTCCTTAAATTTTTTTGACAGCAATAGATGCACATAATGGATACCAAAAAAAATTGGATCCAAAAATTTGTAAAACGCAGAGTGACATCTGGCTTTATGACGAGCCGTTTTACTCTGACTCGCAAGTTTTTTTTTAAAACAGAAAAGGCTGAAAAAATCCGTTTTGTGTAAGAAAACTAGCTGTCAAAATAAAGTTCTCATGAAGTCACCTCGCAGTCCTAAGATTAGGAGTAGATAGCTAAGATTAAAAAGACAGTCAAAAATTAACTCAAAAAACAGTGAAATAGTGGCACCAAAATTGACCTTAAATGGTGATTTTCCCGGCTAAAAAATTCGAAGTCTTGCTAGCAGAAAAGTTATGTAACTTTGACATCTAATTATTGAACAAGACCGCAACTTATGTTTTCTTCATGAAAAAAAAAAACAAATATAGGAATTGTTAAACAGATATTCATAAAATCAAGTAAAAATTGATAAACCACATGAGGCACAAGTGAAAATTACGTGAAAAAAACAGCCCAATGAATTTTGTGATACAAGGAAGAAAGATTGAGATCATTCGATTTAAAAGCTTGGTTTTGAGACAAAAGAAAAGAGAAGTTGATCCAACGAACGATAATATAAACAGTACGACAAAGGATAGCAGTACGTCTGCAACATATTACAGACTGCAATTATTTAGCAAATCAAAATCACGAAATTTAAATGTTAATTAGTACGGGATTTGTTAAGTTTGGGCTTAGAGTCAGAGATTATAATTACGGCGTGATATTTTAAAACAATTAAAACAGATTAAAGCTTAAACTTTAGAAAATGGAATAATTTTTTTTTTAATACTCTATAGTTTTTCGGTCAAAAACTTAAGATAAATTTGGTTACTTGTTTGAAAAGTTTTGGTTACTGCTAATTCTGAAAAAAATGGAGAGTATCTGGTAGACTTTTTAAACTCATAGATAAGATTTAATAAATAAAATACTAAAATATCAATGTCTAGTTTTGAGGTGGAAATATCATTGAAGTCATGATTTTTGTTTAGTGAAACCAAGTTTATATTTATTTATTATATAAACGTCGAACAATCTCAGATAGAACAAAATCAGAGCATGGGCTTGTACGCAACTAAAACATCGCCTGAAACTTTAAAAACTTTAAAATTTGTTCGCAACAAACAAACCCGTTCCTCATTGTGCTATGCTAGCTTGTCATAAAGCATTAAAAACACCAAGATGAAAATTCCTGGGACACGCTATGAAAATACCGGGGTGATATATTTGCCTGCCTTCAGACAATTCGAACAAAGACAAGTCAGCCGTTTTAAATTCAGGCTATTCAGCTCGAAGTATGCAGACAGTTCAGCCAATAATAGTGAGCGCATCAGTCGCACCAGCATGTTGCAAGCTTGCAAACTGAGGGTAGGACTCTATACAAAATTTGGATCCGGGTATCACCGCGAAAAGGTGATGCGCGCGTAGCTCGCTCACTGGCGATCTTGAACCAAGAATTAACTCCAATTCTAAATTTTTTCTATCGAATCTAGCGTTTTGAAAAACTGAATAAATTGTCTTGCGCTTACTTTTCTGTATGTTTTTGGCTGAAATTCAAATTGGCTGAACTGAATTGTCTGTGCGCCAGATTTTGCTTACAGCAAAATTTTTAAACAAAGACTAAATAGCATGCCTCAAAGCAATTTGGAACGATTTCTAAAATGGATTAAATCTCCGCTTACTCTTAGATAGCACGAAATATATCCAGTGTTATTGTCCCAAATGGAATCTTTAAAACTTCAACTCTTTCTTAACCTCACAAAAAATGATAGTGGGAATATTTTTAAGTTTGAGCTCAAAACAACAATTTCATTTGAATGCTAAAATTAAAATCCATGAAAAATTGGTAATTAAAAAGTCAAAGCTTGTCTGGACAAAAAACACCATCCTGATCCAAAAATCGGAACGACGCTTCAAAAGTCGGACGAACAATGCAGTAGTTTTATCAGTTTTTTTTAAAATAATAATATAAAATTTACGCGCTGTAAAATCTCTCTTGTCACAGAAAAATTAAACAAAAGTTTTGGGGAAAGACGTTTTTAAATTTTAGAGAAAAAAGTAATACAAATAGTAAATTGCGTGAAAAATTCACTAGATGTCGTTTCACAATTAAAGATCAAAGCTACGAGCTACTTTTGATTTGTTTTGAATCAAAAATAAACAATTTACTATACGCCATTTCAAATTTGACAGGAGAAAAAATCAGATCAAAATTTAATCCCAAGTTTTGTTCATAATTTATGAAAACCTCGGCATTTTAGACCTCAAAAAAACTAGCTTCGTCTTTAGTGCTACATTAAACAGATAAAGTTCTTAGCTTCACGAAGACGGCGAGGCGCAAGCTCAAAGCTTGATACAACTCAAATTTTGTTTGATGATAATTTTTGAAAGATTAAGAAATACACCTTTCGGTTTTGCGAAGGTTATTTTTGTCATCCATAATGTTGGCACTCTCTGACGTGCATCTGTTGTTTTACACAGTATAGTTTGTTGTTTGTGTCTTCCTGATTGCCTGATCCAAATTATGTGGTTTTTGTAAAAAGACAAATATCGTTTTCAGGATATGATCAGGAATTTATAAGAGTTGTTATTTCATTTAGAGAAAAAATTTTCACAAAAAAGAGAGAAAATTTTTTTCTACTTCTTCATGCTTTATGTTTTTTGCTGTTTTTCTCGCGGTTTTTCTCCAAAAGACAAAACAAAACACATGTGCATATTTGTTGACGAACATGATCTACTTGTATAACCAGGGGTAAGTTCTCATTAGACACACATGCCAATTGGTGTCCCATTTTACAACTGCACGCTATTTAACGCCCTATGTTAAACACCCTGCCTAAAAACTCCGTAATATGAGAGCCCAACAACAGTTTAAGCTCCTTTTAATACCGATAATTTGTTTCTGGGGATCTTTTTAAAACCCACTTCTCTCAAATAAGGTTCAGATGAGACAAAAATTGAAGAGAACAGATTTTGTTTAGATTTTGAATTCAAATGAATAGATTCAACTTTTTTGCGAAAGTTGCTCCGACACTACCAAGTTAGTGAACAAAAATTTAAATCAAAAGAATCCTCTCACACAGCCTAACAGAAATTATAGAGAGTAAAATCTCCAAAAATTTGCTCAAAACGATTAAAATATGCTTTTACGCAAAGATTTTGAGTATAATATAGTAAAAATGACTTCAGGCTATCAAGCAAAAGTATGCTTTCTATACAGATTTTTGGGGATTTAACCTTTCCAGAAATAGAAATGCGTTGAGCTGTGTACGAAGCTCTTTTTCATAAAACTTTCTTATTAAGTAACTTGGTAGCTTCGGCGTAATTTTTGATTAACTCAAAAAACCGAAATGACTCATTTTCGGGGTAAATATTGGTTCCGAAATTCGCAAAAAGAAATTGAACTATACTTTTTCTGGTATATGTCTAATTCATTTTTTGTCTCATCTTATTCCCATTGGAGAAACAGGCATTTTAACTTTCTAACTATGTTCAATTTTTTCGGCTGATATAAATCAGCACTTTTTTCAATTAAGTGTACTAATTTGAAGCCAGAGAAGCCAGGTTTTGAAAAAAAATTCATACATTCACTCTTTAACCGTTGTTATACCATTCTATGAAAACTAATGGTGTAAGCTTCCTTTCATTTGACGTTATCTTCGAAAGACAAACAAATTCTCGTGGTATCAGTCCACGAGTAATAATAGATTCAACTTTTTTGCGAAAGTTGCTCCAACACTACCAAGTTAATTAATAAAAATTGAAATCAAGAGAAGCCTCTCACACAGTCTAACAAAATTCTAGAGAGTGAAAACTCCGTAAATTTGCTCAAAACGATTAGAATATGCTTTTACGCAAAGATTTTGAGTATAATATAGTAAAAATGACTTCAGGCTATTAAGCAAAAGTATGCTTTCTATACAGATATGCTTTCTATACATTCTGTTACACGCAAAAACAAATTAACTACGAACTGGAGTTGCTCAAAATATCAAACTCATAAATAATGAGCAACAGCAATTACGGATGGAGACAATTTTATTGAAACGAAGGGTGAACATAATCAAGATATTACCCCGGGAAAACCTGATGCTTGACTAGTATTGAAAAACATCAAGGATCTGAGCAATAGCAACA